CCTGGGGTTTTGGGTAAATGATTTTCCTTGAGTAGGTATATTTGCTGTCATGGAATCTTGAATAATGGGATCTACTGTGCTTGTTTTTTTTTTTTTTTTTTTTTTTTTTTTTTTTTAATTCATCTCATTGCTTTTGTCTCTTTGGAGACAATGCGCCCTTTGGCTTAAGCTGCAGCTCTGCTCAGGTTTGGTTCTTGCCTCCCCTCTCAGGTTTGGTTCTTGCCTCCCCTCTCATGCTGTGTGGCCTTGGACCAGTTACTTGACATCTCTGTGTAAATACTAGGGAATAATGGTGCCAGAGCTGCTGAGAGGATGCAGGGACTTGATGCAGATAACAGGGTCTCATAAATGTGTTCACATTTCCTCTGAAATCTAGAAGTTGGTGGGGCATCTGATCTCACAGGGTCCATGGAAGTTTTAATAGAACCTCAAGTTGTTTGTGGACGCACCAACAAACAAATGTCTCCTCCACTGTCTGGCTGCTAGCATAACATGGCAAAACCATGTGTGCTGGGCCTGTGACAAGCATTGAGACCCCCTAGTTCAGCTGGCATTTGTCCCTCCCAGAGCCCTCCTAGTATCTTGCCTTCCTGCTGAAGGTACTCAGTGGTGGTTACAGAGCCGCCAGGCTCCTGCAGGCCTCGCCTCTCCCAGGACTGTATCTGTTTTGATGGCTGAGACATGCCCACAGACTCATGTGGGTTCTAGAATTTGGGGTGTCACCCCCAGAGACTATGAGCAGGTACATTGCCACTGTTTACTCCTGTTTGGAGAGTCCACATATGACCAGGTCTGTGTGTCAGGTGCTGTCCCCTTGCTCCTGTGCATCTGACCTGTTCTTTATTGAAAAGCAGTCTAGGATGGCGCTGGTGCCGTGGCAGCCTCGCTATGGGGCTGTTCTCTGCTCCCTCAAGGGCCACATTCTTGTATGAACCTCAGTTTCCCCTTCTGTAAAATGGGGAAACCTTTGAGTAAAAGAACATTCTAGAGACAACCTCCAACTTCATCAGTTCTTTTATTGTACATGCAGTTTCTCTTCTTTATGCGTCTCACATTTCCTCAGGGTCTTACCATGTCTATGGTGCTGCAGTGGACTCAGGGTGAGATATATAAGTGGCCCTTCTCATGGGGAAGATATGTGTGTGTGTGTGTGTGTGTGAATGTGTATTTGCATTTTTTTTTTTAAGATTTATTTATTTATTCATACAGAACTGGGGTACCAGGCCAGAGATGCGGAGGGTGAGAGGATTCACCAGGGACAGAGTGGGGAGCAGAACAGGCAGATCTACGAAGTACACTGCTGAGGGGAGCAGCGGGCGGGTCAGGAGAGGTCTGCCGCACCATGTGGTCACCTCTGGGGCAGGCGGGAATCGAACTCATGCGGAAGTGGCTTTAGCTTCTCAGCGCAGTGCTTTAACCCGCTGCGCCACCAGGGAGGGCCCTGTATTTGCATTTTTATAGATAGGTGCATACATGTCCACACTGTGTACAAGCATATGCACGTGTGTCCTGCGTACTTAGGGTGTATATTTGTATATGTAGCATGTATATGTGTGCGTGTATATGTGAGTTTACGCATGTGTGCTCATGTATGTACATGTGTATGCACACATGCATCTACCCACCTACTTCCCTGCCTGCACCAGCTGTAGGTTATGATACACGCCATTACTGAAGTATATGTTGAAGAGAAGGAGCTACCAGCCTGTCCAACCCAGGGAGATTCATAGCTAAGAAGGTGACTATTGCAGACAGGGAGTGTAGTTTGGCGGGGTGGGGGTGGGGTGCATGGTCCATATCCATAACACAGACAAGAGAGCTGGGTAGTTTTTGGAGAAGTTCGTCCATCAGCTTGCTGGACCCTGGGCATATTGGACAATGGAAGGCAAAGCTGAACCCAGTCAGGACACCTGTCTGGTGTTATGGACTGGCGCTTTGCTGGGTGCCAGTGGGAATCCCTGAGCCAACCAGGCTGGAGGCCCAGGAGGATGACAGCTGCCCTGGACAGTGCCAGACTGAAAGGAATGGAGGCAGTGAGGAGCTTCTCCGAGTCCTTGGTAGGAGCTGGTGAACATGGCCTTCATGGCC